CTCCTCAAAATCCTCCCTTTTTAAAAGAAGGGAAATAAAATCAAACCCTGCGTACCAGTCACAGCAAATGCTACAGCCTCTATACTGAAGGAAAAAAAAAGCTGCTCTGGCCGATGACTTGGTCACACTGGGTTGTGTGCCTGTCCGTGGGGAGGAGGGGTGGGGGTACAGACTGGAAACCGAGGCAGCTGAGGACCCGACACGGCTCTCCTCGCACACCTGATAGGCACCCTCCACAGGGACAGGGAGGGACAGGCAAGCCAGCCTAACTCTCCTTCTGCTATAGCCCCTGTCACGGAGTGCTGCAGAGGCTTTACAGGCTCCAACCAACCACAGTTTTCCAGACCGCGCTACGAAATAACACACTGCGGCTTTCCATGCTTTCTGAAGGCAGACTCGTCAGGGTCCCCAGGTTTACCCATCTTGTTTCCTTGCAAAGCTGTGAGTTCCTCAAGGACAGAGACTGTGTCTCCGCTACTTTGTCCTGAGTCCTGGTTCCCAGCACAGCTGCATAAGGACAAGCTTTAGGGCAGCGATCGACATAAAGGACGGTTCATAACAGTGGAGAAGGGAAAGTAGTTGCTATTAACAGCTTGCCAGATAAACACAAAATTAAAAGTTAGAGCTATTGAGAGTGTGAAGAAATACAGCCTTGGACTTCCCTGGTGGTGCAGTGGTTAAGAATCCGCCTGCCAATGCAGGGGACACGGGTTCGAGCCCTGGTCTGGGAAGATCCCACATGCCGCAGAGCAACTAAGCCCGTGCGCCACAACTACTGAGCCTGCGCTCTAGAGCCTGCGAGCCACAACTACTGAAGCCCACGTGCCACAACTACTGATGCCCGTGCTCCGCAATGAGAAGCCACCGCAGTGAGAAGCCCACGCACCACAACGAAGAGTAGCCCCCCGCTCACCGCAACTAGAGGAAGCCTGCGCACAGCAATGAAGACCCAACACAGCCAAAAAAAAATAAAAAAGAAAAGAAATACAGCCTCACTGAATGGTGCGGAAGCACCGAGGCGCAGACCCTCTGAGGACTGAGGGACAAACGGCCCATCTGTCTGAAAATCCCCTCACTACACAGAGCGAGGGGCCCAGGGAGGCGCGTCCAGTACCTGATGCAAGCACACCAGCGTGTAGAACGCCTCGCCAGCCGCGGTGGTCATCTCCGTGTTGTGCTTTTGCAAAACCAGCATATCAAACACCAGCTGAAAGTACACAGTAACACCTCTCAATAAAGACACACGATGACCATATAACCCTCCAGCCCCTCCCCATTGCGAAAGGGAAAAAGAGGGACAAAGAGGTTATTCTTCATTAAACAAATCTGAAAAGTAAAGAAAATAGTTTTTAAAAAAATCCAAGGATAACATGAAGATGTTATTGCTTGCCGTGGTGTATGAAATAATCAAATTATCAAATTCCATGTTATATTCACCACATAAAATTTCAGGAACACAAAATAACCGTGGAGGATAACGTATCCAAGAAAGCTGATCTCCAAGAACTGCAGTGAACAGAGAGGCATGATCTCCTCGTGGATGAAGGTGCCAGCACTGCCCCCTGGAGGGAAGACCCCCCCCCCCCGCCGCCGCCCCGTGCAATGACTGCACCCAAACATCTCACCTTGAGAAAGTGCCGTGTTGCCAGGAAAAGTGGCGAGTCTGTCTCCTGTGCTTTTGCACACTGCTCAGCTAACGGGGTCAAAGCTTCCAGGCACAGCTGGCAAACCTCCGAACTCATTCTGATCACGAAGGTCAAAGAACAAACTAGAGATACTTGACTTACAGAAGATAAACAATTAAAGCTATTATCCAACGGATGGCTGTTTCTAGAAGGTGAGTACGTCGGTGAGTCTTTACTGAGCTAGGTGAGGACAGGAGAGTCCCAGTGTTTCCGAGATTATCCGTATGTGTCTGGGGCCCAGGACTGGAGCTTTGTGTGTGTTCTGACTGTGATGCACACAACCAAGTGGCAAAGATCAGAGACGCGGCAACAGGACGTGGCACTACTACCTGGGCTCCATGAGACAGTGACTTTGGGGCCCGGGGCCGAATGCCTCTGGGTCTGTGAAAGGAGGACGAGGGGGCAGGTTAATGAAAGAAACACAGAAGTAGGGCAGCTATAGGCATGACTGCTTTTTAAAGAAATAAGACTGAACCACAAAAGAAAAAATACAAATTTTGAAAACTTTTCTTCTAGCAACCTCTTTTTCCCTAGTGACAAGTGATCACGATGTTCACTCAAAGGATATGACGTCATTCCTAGTTCCAACGAGTACATCAGACTTTTAAAAAGATCTTCAGGAAGCTGTGGTATTTTTTCAGGAAAAATCTCACAGATAAATGTGATTAATTTGTAGTATTGATTACAAAGGGTTGGAAACTGAAAAAGAAATATTAAATATTTAGATGTTTAATGATATCTAACTTGTTTTCATTAATGGAATAAAGTAATAACCATCAAGCTTCTAAGTATAATGATTTGTTTAAAACATATACAGGATACAGAAAACATAAAGACCTAATTAAATGTAAAAATGAGTTACAAAAACGGGAACACTTTAGTAACTAATATGAAAGTAATACGTAGCAGAAACAGTCATCTTCTGGATAGTTACAAAAGCCATAGCCAATTCCAGATATTCTATGTTTACCTTGGAAAAGTGAACAAAGCAGCCAAATCTCAAATTACTAAATGACCTGTGAATAAAACCATTTGCATTCAAGCATGTTGGAAAAATACAAGAACGTAATACAAACTGTTAAAATTAGGATTAGAACAGAGTATTCAGCCTTGCACACTTCCAACATCTATTTACTGGTTGCACAGTCCTGGAGAACTGAGGTAAAAAGCAGGTAATCTACAGCTAACCTCATTTAAGAAAATACACATCTAAATGTCTAATGGTTTATTTGATGAATAAACACCAAAAAACAAAAGAACCCGAAAAGCAAATCAATACACAGAGCTTCCTAAACTTCCCATCCTGCTGGCTGCTTTCCGCAGAGACACTTCTCCAGGAGGGACAAGCCTACAGTCACAGCCGCACGCTGGGAACCTAACAGCTCTCACTCTGACCCTCGACTGCACAGGCCCCTCCCAGCCCTGCTTCCTCCCCAGGCCCCTCCCTCTGCCCCTCTATTTTGTCCACCTCACTCTTCCTCTCCAACCTCCCACCTCCTGACAGGAGAAGAGACCCTCCCTCAATGGTACTCAGAGTGGGAGAAAGGGCAGCCTCATCACCACCACACCCTTGACATCAACCAGTGAGAGAAACCAAGGCCCAGTACAGTCAGAACGTACGGAACTTGACCAGCTGTATGAGCCTTGGTTTCTTACCGTTCCACTTCTCCACGGAGCGGCTGGGAAATGCCTTCTGTTGCCCAAACCCTCAGCCTGAGAATGGTGTTGGGAAAGCACCAGAGAAATACACTACACATGAAACTTCCTGTATTTGCTGAACGACAAATGACGAGGGAATCAAAACCGCGAACATCGGCACTTGGGTTCTAGAAGAACCAGCCTTTCCCTGACACTGAGGGATCAGTGAGTGCAGGGCTCCAGGGAAGGCATGGGTGTGAAGGACACAGGACAGCCACACAAACACTTTATTTCCACACACACTTAACAGATGAGTAGGTACTGGCCCCCTTAATTAAATTGGACATGTATTCGTGCCTGAAATATCTTGAACCTTCGAGTTCAAGCATATGCGGTTTTAATGTTCACATTCCTTTCTTCACTTACCTTCAAGAGGTCCTGTGACATCAAGGGCAGAATCAGGTTCACTCCATATAACACAACATCGGCTGCCGACACAGATCTGTTTGCTGCTGGCCCAGGCTCCTGACCCCTAAACACTTCATCTATAAAGTGAGAACAACGCAGTCTTACAGCTGTAACATCAATAAACCTACGAAGGTGGGTATGTTCTCCTGCATGAAAGTGAAAGCGGAGTCAAGCCCCCAAGACAAAATAAATCTACGAGAGGATAACACAGCCTTTCGTGTTGTACTGTTTAGGGTCTGAATACTGGATGCAGATATTCTGTGTTTACATTATCATTCTACGACGATGAAAGTAAAACTAACGCTTAATCAATGGTTTTTGAAAAGTAAAATTGACCCCACTGACACATTGGTCATACTGTGAGTTAAATAATTTCCACAGTACTATTCACTTTTCTCCTAGGTGTGTGGGATTTTTCTAAGCTGGAAAGGAATGGGGGGAAATATAGGAATTAAATATTGCATAAAAAAAGGAAGTTTTTTTTAAAAAAGCTACTAATATGACAAAGGATTATTACCCTTAATCCATAAAGGAGGCATATAAATTACTCAGAATTTTAAAACCTTGACAGATAAAGGACCAAAATCCACAAACAAACACCTAACAAAACCATAAGCCCAATGAAAAAAAACAAGTTCGATCCAATCATTAAGCAAGCAATACAAAGTTTTTGAAGGTACTACTTCTGATTCATTAGATTACAAGTGACTTCTGAATGATAACATGTAAATGGTGGTGAGGATACAGTGTGATAGTTACCCTCAAAAGCAATATAATAAGAGACTTTTGAGCACTGTATATAGTAAGGATATAAACATAAATTTAGACAGTGATTCATCCACAGAAGTAATTAGTTTATCACTGTAACAGCAAAGTTGTAAATACTCCAGATGTCCTGTATTACAAAAACAGGGTTAGGTTCCAAAATGTGGATTACCACGCAGCCATCAAAAAGTCATGAAAAATTTTAATGACAAGGAAGAGGCTAATAATACATTAATGAAAAAGGCAGAATATAAAATTATATTTGGAGCATAATCACAAAAAAATTATACAAAATAACCAAAAGGGAAATTAACAAAATGCAATTACTCTGGATTATGTCAAAGCATGGGTGATTTTTCCGTCCCTGTACTTCAAATGTTTTCTATTATGAGCGTATTTACTTTCACAACAAGGGGGAAAAAAAGGACAAAATGTGGTAAAAAAGCACTTCTACTTAAAAACCACGTTTTCAGCCTAATTCTGTACTTTTCTCCAAGAGCCTCAGTTCCATCTGCAAGAATCCCATTTTCCAAAGCCGGGCATGGCGAGCCTGGATCCATCCAGTAGGAAGCCTGGGCCTGCTGGGCCGGGGCCATGGCAGGCTGGCCACCGCCGCTGGGTCTGCTCGAGAGACGGCTCCTGGCCTGGGTTGTGGGACTCAGCTCTGCAGCCACGGGCTCTGCCAGGGGCTCAAGAATGTCGTGCAGAGGCTCATTTTCAGTTACGCTTTTGTATCTCACCTGGTATATTAATTTTATTTCATAATATTTAAAATATTTTCTCTTATCTCACCTATTATCTGTACTTTATTTTTTAAATAATTACTTAAAAATATTCTCTCCCTTTTTACCATCTATTTTATCTGTTGCTTGATCATTTCCTATTTTAATTGTCTTCATTTTCTTTCTTCTAGACCTCAACCCTATCCACCTTATTCTATTCTTTTTACCCTTATTTTGTACTTTCAATCCTGAGCATTTTGGCCTCAATTTCTTTTCTAACATTGTATTACGATTTCAATCCTTCTGCTGTTTTCTTTTGAAAACCTGCCCGTCCACACTTACCCATACTGTTTACTCCACAGCTCACTCCCAGGGGAGCCTGAGAGGGCTTCTGTCCCCTCCAGATGCCCTTCATACAAAGCTCTCCCATCCCTCTCAGTATCAGTTCTTAACTGAGAGTCAGTTCATCAGGGTACAGGGCTCTTATCCTGGTCCTTACACCCCTGGGAAGTCTACAAATCAACTAACACGGCATGTGAACCTCAGCGGGTCATGTAACATACACCCTTCAAGGCAAAGGCTCAGAACAACTTGAGGCCTCAGAGGCACATCTGATCTAGAAAAGGTGAAGCAACCCCGGCCTGAAGGAATCAGAAAGCCTGGGACCGACACCCGCACAAGTGGCTGGGTCTGGAAACAGCGGCAGCGGACGCCCTTCACCTGGTGCCCTGTCAGCCGCCCAGGGCAGTAAGGCTCCTGGGCTGAAGCTGATGGTGCCTGGCACAGGGCAGCTCTGCCAGAAATCTCCGCTGAGTGAACCGGTGGAGGGAACAGAGAAGAACACGTCCAGTGTCAGGTGTGCTGAGCACAGGGGGCGAGAAGGGGTCGGAGGAGGGAGGGGCAGCAGCACCCACTGCCCGGGGGGCAGCTCAGCCCGGGGGAGGAGACGTGGACAGCACATCTTCCCCGTGGAGCTGGAGGCCCCTGTGTCCTGAGGCAAGGCAGGCGGTGGGCAAGAGGTGATGAAGGAGAGCTGCGGACACGCGGGGCTCCGGGCACCCGGACACGCTCGCCTGTGACAACAGCGGTGACGAGAACGGCAATGGCAGGCACCGGAGGTACCTGCCGACACATCGTGAACACAGTTTGGCAGGCACCGATCGTCACAGCCCCTGTAACAGCAAGGGAGGCCTAGGAAGGCAACAGACTCTGCAAGGTCATGCTGCTGGGGAGCCCCAGGTTAGGGCTTTGGAGTGTCGCCTGTCAGCCCCCAAGTCCAGTGGCTCCCAGGCTGCAGTGGGCACAGGGCTGGGGCTTCCTCAGAGGACACGGAGGGGGAACTCGTCAGTAAAGTGAGCTCTGACACTGGCCTCTGAAGTCAGACGCTGGGGTGCACGAGCTGCACATCTGCAGGCAAGTGGTGTAAACTCCTGGGCCTGTTTCCTGGCCTCTAAAACGCGTGCACCAGTGGCACCAGACTCATGCTGCCGTGACAGGGACAGTGCCCGGCACTGGCTAGGAGCCTGGGACAGGGAAGACACGAGCACTTTCATCTCTACCAGAGGAAGGCCAGGCACACAGGGCTGTTGCTCCCGCCCTGCCCGCGGCCGCGGGGACCAGCTGGCTTCCGCCTGTTCTGTAAATGGGACCTCCTCGTGGGACGTCACATACCGCAAGCACTGCTTCGCTCGGACAGAAGCAAGCGCAGGCCGAGAGGCCGAGCGCGGGCGCACCTACCTGTGTCGCTGAAGTCTATGAACTCCTTGGACAGGAGGTTGGTGAGGAGCTCCATGATGAGCAGCAGGTCCTGGTACTGCTCCTCCTCCTCCGCGGGGGCGTCGGCCCGCTGCCGCCCCACGTTGTTCCTGGAGTACACGCGCAGCAGGGTGAGGCACGCCTCGTACAGGTTCATGGCTTTGGACTGGGAAAAAGCAGGCAGAGGTCAGGCTGCTGGGGGAGCCTGGCTGGGGAACATAAACACTACAGAAGTCCAAGATGTAATCCAATAAATTTACTCTGAATTCCAACAGCAGCTCTAACGCTTGTCGTAAACTACATTACAGCACTGACAAAAATGAGAAAGCATAAAGATTACGGTTATATTTAAAACATTAGTGTTCTAACAATAAAATTTGACACTCTTTTTGTGTGCATTAGATTGTGCCTACTAGAAAGACAATACAATTTTGGCAACAGAACCGCTTTACTCCTGCTCTTCAACTTCTTGTACGACGTGGGTTACTTTAAGCTGTAGAATGGTTTAAGGTGCAGAAGCACAGGGCACCAAGCATTAGAATAAACGGCACTGGCCTGAGCTCTGAACGGTGCACCTGTGACGACCTTTGTAACACTGACCAAATGTAACCTCACTTTTAAGCCGGCTCCTTTGATCTACAACAACAACAAACACACAAATCACGAACATCTTTGCTGACTGAATATAAAAGAACTTAGTGTATCTGAACGTTCATCTGACTTACAAAACGAAGATGCAAACTGCCACTTAAAATGCTAAGTCCTAGGGTTCTACCACTGAGCAATTTATTAAAATTTTCTACCATAATCCATTTGTTTTATCAAATATTCCTCATGTGAATGAGTTTGACAGAGTAACATATTAGCCCAAAGAAATGCCTCATTATTAACATTTTTAGGGCAAGAATTTACATTCATTCAATATGCCTTCCTCTGAACTCTGAGTTCTTTTGAAAAATCTTTTGGAGGTATAGAAATATTATTTCAAATAACGTTCATTTAATCTGAAGCAAAGTATCTATCATTTTGTTATAGCTATCAGGAGTTTTGATCTGGAAGGGATCAAAGTAGACCGTGCTCACCTCTCCAAGATAGCATATCTGCTTATGTGCAACTTCAACAAAAACTTCTATGATGAGATTGACAGTCTCGGGGGTATTTTTGTAAACTTCCATCAATCCAATGCAATTGGTAAGGAAGTCCATTAAAAAGTTAAAAAGGATGGCTACATTGTCAACCTGGGTAGCCTCAGCAATGCCACACAGGGCCTCCAGCGTGGCAGTGATCTCCTGCTTCACCTCCTCCTGCTGGCACATCTGCGGAAAGTTTTCCTGGTTTATCACTCTTAAGAATCGCTGCTGAAGAGGCTGAAGAACCTACAAAAATAAAGCGTGAATTTTTTAAAAGTCTGATTTACATGCTTAGTTTCTTCAACTTGGGTAAATATTTACTTTCCAAAACATTTCTAACTGTTGGAGGCAAAAAAGCACAAAAAACAAAAAACTACCTGAACCACATGTTACAAGCCCCACTTTGAAGGTGATCCTAACTTCTGGCAAACAAATAAATAACACAGCACATGCAAAGGTGCTCATATCACCAGTCAACAGGAAAATGGAAATGAAAACCACAACGAGATATCACCTCACATCTATCAGAACGGCCATCAAAAAGACAAGAAATAACAAGTGCTGGCGAGGGTGTGGAGGAAAGGGAACCCTCGTACACTGCTGGTGGGAACTCAAATTGTTACGGCCACTTTGGAAACAGTACAGATGTTCCTCAAAAAATTAAAAATAGAATTACCATAGGATCCAGCAATTTCACCTCGCATATTTATCTGAAAAAGTGAAAACACTAATTCGAAAAGATACACGCACCCCTATGTTCATAGCAGCACTATTTACAACAGCCAGGACACGGAAGCAACCCAAGTGTCCATCGACAGATGAATGGATAAAGGAGATGTGGTACATATATACAATGGAATATTACTCAGCCATAAAAAGCAAGGAAATCGTGCCACTCATGAAAACATGGGTGGATCTTGAGGGCATTATGCTAATTAAAATAAGTCAGACAGAGAAAGACAAATACTGTACGATCTCACTTATACGTGGAATCGAGGAGGGAGGAAGACAAAGATAAAAACTTTCAGTTACAGGATTAATAAGTCCTGGGGGGCTTCCCTGGTGGTGCAGTGGTTGAGAGTCCGCCTGCCGATGCAGGGGACACAGATTCGTGCCCCAGTCCGGGAAGATCCCACATGCCGCGGAGCGGCTGGGCCCGTGAGCCATGGCCGCTGAGCCTGCGCGTCCGGAGCCTGTGCTCCGCAACGGGAGAGGCCACAACAGTGAGAGGCCCGCGTATCACAAAAAAAAAAAAAAAAAGTCCTGGGGATGTAACGTACATCATGATGACTATATGAGATGTAGGAAAGTGAAGAGAGGAGATCGGAGAGTTCTCATCTCAAGGAAAAAAATGCTCCTTAATTATTTTTTTTTCTTTTTCTTTTTTTGGTATCTATGAGATGACGGATGCTGTCTGTGTCACAATATATGTAAGTCAAACCATTAGGCTGTACACCTTAAAGTTATACAATGATGTATGTCAATTACATCTCAGTAAAACTGAAAAAAGAAATTATTACTTATGGAAAAGAATATAAGTGCATGCTATCATCATACTTCCTTAAGTAATTTAAGTTCAAAAGAAGAAAAAAAAGACTTCCTTGACGCCATTCACAAGATTCTGCCACTATCTTCATCTCTTTCCCATTAGCAAAAAAAAAGAAAAGATATTTCATAAAGGGCCAGAGAGTAAATCTTTTACATTTTACAGGACATACTATCTCTGGCCCAACTGTTCAATTACGATTTCACTGTAGTGCAGAAGTAGCCATGGAAAAGATGTAATCGGTTAAGCATGACTGTGTTTCAATAAAACTTTATTTATAGGGACTTCCCTGGTGGTTCAGTGGCTTAAGACTCCACGTTCCCAATGCAGGGGGCCCGGGTTCAATCCCTGGTCAGGAAACTAGATCCCACGTGCCACAACTAGAAGTTTGCATGCTGCAACAAACACCCGTCGCAGCCAAATATATAAATAATTTTTTATTTTTTTTTTTTTTGCGGTACGCGGGCCTCTCACTCTTGTGGCCTCTCGCATTGCGGAGCACAGGCTCCGGACGCGCAGGCTCAGTGGCCACGGCTCACGGGCCCAGCCACTCCGCGGCATGTGGGATCCTCCCGGACCGGGGCACGAACCCGTGTCCCCTGCATCGGCAGGTGGACTCTCAACCACTGCGCCACCAGGGAAGCCCTAAATAAATATTTTTTTTTAACTTTATTTATAAAAACAGCAGGCCAGATTTGGTCTGTGGGCTGCAATGTCCAGCCTCTGTCCTACTAGGTGAAGACCAACACAAAGCTCCAGCCTGTTTTTCCCCTTCCACCTCCCCTGGGTGTAAGAGTAAACAGGCACATTCATGAAGAGGATCTCTTAATTCTATTTAAAGCTGCACGTATGAAAATAAATGACTTAAACTGGAAACACATGGTCAGGCTGATCTCCATTCTGGCTCTGAAGTCGCAGACTACTGCCTATTTCTGTTACTGTGCCCTTTCTCAACACTAAGGGCATCCAGTCACAGGGATTACAGGCTGGCAACCTACATGCACTGGTAACTCTTGGTTCCCAATTTAAACCTTATTATATAAGACGACGTGTCCAGGGTGGTGGCTATGGCTTGAATTACATCCCGCCAAAATTCATGTGTTGAAGTCCGAACCCCTGGTACCTCAGAACATGACCTTATTTGGAAATAGGGCTGTTTCAGATGTAATTAGTTATTAAGGTGAGGTCCTTTGGGCGGGCCCCTAACCCAGTATGACTGGTGTTCCTATAAGAAGGGGAAATTTGGAACAGACATGGGCACACGGAGATGCAGGGGAATCAGGGTGATGCACCCACAAGCCGAGGAACGCCGCAGACTGCCAGCAAAGCACCAGGAGCTCCGGGAAAGGCCGGGAACCCCAGGCCCTCCGTCACAGCCTCAGAAGGAACCAGCCCTGCCCACACCTTGATCTCGGATTTCTGGCCTCTAGAACCGTAAGACAGTAAATTTCCGTTGTTTAATCCACTAAGTTTGTGGTATTTTGTCAAAGCAGCCCTAGCAAGCCAACACAGTGGTTAATTTGCATGTCCTTGTCCAAGACAAAGGAACACGTCACGGGTTCTTCATGGAGAAGCAACATACCAGCTCAGGCTGTCATTCGCGTTGGGGAAAAGGTGTCTAAAGTGCCGGGCACTCGACAGCGTTCAACGTCCTCACGCAAGCAGGTCAGCAGGTCGGACAAACTCTAAGCGCCAACCCACTCGTTAGGAGGGAAAACACCAGCAAAGCTATGTTTCCATAGTCCGTCTGCGGCAACACACAGATGAAACCCCGGCAGGGCGACGCGGAAAAGCCGTCAAAGGCAGGGGAATGGTTTACCTCTGTCCAGTACTGCTGCTTGGTCTCTGCGTCCATGTGAGCGAAGCCCCCCAAGACGAGCGCCTTCATCAGCGTCCTCTGCACGGGGCTGGACAAGAAGTTCAGAGGTGGGCTTCGGCTGGCAAACTGCTTGGCTAGGTTCCACCAGCTTTCGCACTGGATCACCAGGTTTGCCCTGCAGGGAGAGGCAGGACGCGTTACTTGCTTACGCTGCATGTGCCCTAAGTAAACAAAGTGCAGGGCTACGAGCTTCAACTTCTGTTTAAAGTCCAGCACAGACAACTTGGTATAGACTTTGGAGTCTTGTATTCAGACCCAACTAGCCGTTTGTCAATGTAAAGTTTATTTAATCTCTCTTAATTATCAGTTTCCTGATCTATAAGATAAAGATAACAACAGTAATAACAGCCCTAAATTTCACGGCTGAGACTGATGAAATGATTAAATCAGGTGCTTCATATGAAGTGTTTGCAACAGTACCTAATAAATTACAAGAATTCAATAAATAGTAGCCAATGACAGTAGTAATAACGATCATTTTCCCATGTAGTAAGAAAACTGAAAACATCTCCAGAATTTGCTGTAGAAAGCACTAAAAATTTTACTTTGCAAAATTAAATTAATTGTCAAATTATCAGTTTTTCTCATCTTTAAAATGGGATAATACTAATGCGATAGCTGAAAATTCAAATAAGACTGTTCTATATTAAAACTGTAAATTACTAAATTAAATGTTACTCATAAAGATTCTTTGATGACAAATCCTTGAACATCTATGCAATCTTCAGTCGTAACATGGAAAAGCCCTGTTTGCATTCGTAACAAGACTATGATATATTTTTTAAAACACATTGCTCCAAAAACGCTGGGTCTACCTAAACCTTAGGACCGTGTAACCGTTCACCACTTGAAAAGACTCCACTGAAGTCACACATGTCAGCTCACCTCTCCCTTCTCTCCACCAAAGTGACGAGCAGCTGCACCGTGTCATTTGCGAGGTCCTGCTCACTGCTGCACACTGAGAGGTTGCTGAGGACCTTCTGCAAGAGGTAGCCAACAATCCACTGAGAGCCCTCTGTGTCTGCTCCAAATGCTGTACTGAATGGCACGCTTATCTTCAGAGAAAACAAATTTTTTAAGGTCAGAAAGAAAGATCTGCCGGAAAAAGGAAAGAAAACAAAAACAAAAAACCCCGTAGAGAAATCAAACTGAAATTAGCACTAAATCTGAAGTACTGCTTACTTCACACCAATTTTCTAAATGTATTCATTTCCAAAGTCCAAAAAGGAACATCATCAATCCACTGACGTTTCCCAGTGTGGTTTTCCTATTAGCTTTAATTATTCTCATATTACATACACAGTCACATATTCACACCAAATACAAAGAACATAAATTAATCCATCCCCAAACAGTACTCTGAACTTAATATAGGTTAAAATAAGCAGAAATCACATGATATGCTCTAGGAAAAGTTAACAAAACGGCACGCTGTCCACACAGTTTTCTCCAGTGTGGAAGATGCTCAGCTCTTACTCACATTCTGATGAGAAAATCACCAAGAAAAATGTTCTCATTTCTATAATTCCCATGCTCATAAATCCAAACGAAATCAAACGGTTTTACATTCTGACCTGATCGTACAGTTTCTCATCCACCAGGAGATAAGTCTTTGCCCAGCGTTTTAGAAACCAAACAATATCTTTGCCCATCTGAGGGCTTAGCAGGTGCGTGAGATCTGCCCTTATTGCCCGAGACTCAACTTCTGAAACTCTGAGAACAGCAGACAACAGCCTGTAGGTACAAAAAGGAAGTCATTTATTCCTTTATCAGTTTATTGGCTGTCTAACCATATTTTTTTCCTAAAAAGCCCTTTTCTGTTTCTCAACTCTCTGAAGTTTTCTTCAAGAGGGCTGGAGACAGATGCCCCATTTTACTGCTGACCTTTCAGGAAGCAGGAGAAAAGGAAGAGAGTCATGGCTGGACTAGTCATGGCCTCTGTTGGGCTGTGATTACACGTGCGAGTCTCAGCACTACTGTCTAAAGAGATTTTTCAGGTTCAAAACAGAGAAATGCACACAGTTAAAAGCTACTTAAAACCCACGGACACTGGTCGTTTTATGGTGTGGGGACGGGCCAGCGACTCATCCAGAATGTTCTGAATACTCAGTCTTGTCTCTAAATCTGACAGTCCTATTTATTTCCTAACAAACTTGACTTTTAACGTTATTTTTAAATAAAAATGTTGCTAGAATTACCTACATAAGTGCATGTATTGTCCTTTCTACACTACCGAATTCATATGCTGAGCAGCGTTAACACAGCACGATATGCAGACCAGTAAAAAAAAAAAAAAAAAAAAAAAAAAAAGGCTTTGTTCTGGGTTTGGAAGGGGGGCACAAGGGATCTACATTTAACCTGACTTTAGCTAAAAGGCAAAGAAGCAAAGGACTTAGGCGAAAGAGCCCATCATGACACCATTCTAGGAATATCAGCGCGAAGGCAGGAACGCTGCTTTCATCGCTGCTCTCAGGGTGAGTGAAGCCATCTCCCTGCTGTGAAACCTCACGGCAGTTTCAGCCCCTCACCCACTGCTACCTCCTTCGCAGCTGGCGACATCCCCCTTCTCTGACCTTCTTCTTTACACAGGTGGGTTTAAGGTCTTCTTGTTTCACTACATACACTCGCTATGCCAACAGTGCTCACAGTTTTAAAAATGATTTTAGAGTGTATGTGAGCAAAATTAAGCCAACGATCTCACAATGCATTTTAAGTTGAAGTATCAAATTTTCCCCATAAGAATAAAGAGCTTAAATGATGTAATCTGCAGGCTCTCAGAACGCGCACTAAGCAATCACAGTAACCATGTAAATGTATGCACCGGGATTTAACTATCCTAGAATTCTGATACCCATCACCATCCATGTGAAAGAGAAACAAGTTTTTCTTTCACAGTTGGAAGCTTTACACTTTCTTTTTCGCCTTAAATTTTTATTCCTATTTCGTTTCCCCACAGACTATTATCCTAATATAATAAACTTCTTATACTCGCTTTATCGATCACACCATATACTTCTCTGAAACAAGTATGTATAGATATTAAAATATAATTTTTAAAAATTTCCAGTGATAAGACTGTGTTAACAATGTCTTCTGGATTGAGTTATCGTTACAAAACTTACTAGTACACAATTGAGCAAAATATCACACAAATTTAAATAAATTATTAAACACATTTATTAAAAATGAAACTTTACGTACAACACAGGGAATATAGCCAATATTTTATAATAACTATAAATGGAGTCTAAACTTAAAAAATTGTGAATTACTATATTCTACACCAGTAACTTACACAATATTGTAAGCCAGCTATACTGCAATTTAAAAAAATTAAAATAAATAAAACGGATGTATCTTAATAAGATTAATGTGGCAGGGTTTGATTTTTCCAAATTAGTCCATGTGTAATTCGATTCCTGTTTTTCATTTCAGTAGATATGAGCACTGAGAAAACGCGTTCACATAAATTAATGGGAGGCGTCTTTAGAACAGTGGGGTCCCTCAAGTACGTGAAGTAAAGCTCACGCTGACGGCACCCTGTAACACCGACAGGTCTGTAACACCCTGAGGTCTGCACACCTGGCCCTCGGGCAGCCGGCCTCCTTCCCACGGCACTGACAGTCTGCTAACAACCGCGCCATTCCTTTACTTCTTCCCTCTCCCACACGAGGAGCTTGAAAGGGGGAGCAATCTGTCTGCTCTAGAACAGTGCCTGGTACGGAGTAAGCACTCGATAGTTACTTGTCAAATGATGATTTCTTCAAGAAATGCAAACCACTTTCTTAGTAAACAAGGCCTGTCTCCCTCCTGCCGTTCAATGTCACACTCGCTCTTTGGACTGAAGAACAACGGTGACTCCTGTTGTTCCGGTCCCCACCTCAACCCTTCACAGGCTTTGCTCTCAGACACCAAAATGTTTTGCTCCCTCACTGATACCCAAGACTGGCAAAAACTGAAAAAGCACTGAAAATACAAGGAAAGCATTCCTGAGGGTACTGCCCAGGCAAGAACAGTGACACAGAACACAACAGGACAGCACCCTGAAATGAACTGACTCCGCAGTTAACATTCACCATGAACCAAACCAAAGCAATTACTCCACCTAATGCTGAAAGCAATCCCAAAAGGAAGAAATAAAACTTTTCCAATAGAGCATTGACATTGACATTTTATTTCAAATCAGAGAATGCAACAATAAAGGAAATAAATTCCCAAACATTTCCTTGATATCCACTTAACAGTTTAATTTAAAAAGAAAACATATTTTCTATTGCACAGGTTTAAATGGTATCTATGTTATTTTGCATTAAAATAAAAAGAATGAGGGGACAGCACCTTGTTTGAGTTCATGATTTTGCAACAGACAAAAACCAATATTATGTCATTATTCTCTCTGTCTGCAACCTAAATTTAAAGTTTAAGATGCTGAAACTTAAATTGCTGTTTTCAAATCCACTTTTAGGAGGATATTTAGTTCACGTTCATCCCTCCTTAACTTCACCATCAAGAATTAATGGAAGTTTTACCACTCCTCTCAGGAAGATCACAGTGAATTCTTTCATTTGAGGCACACTGCCATCTTATAACAGGGCTCTCAAGGTTCACACACACTCAGGACAAATATTTCTACTTTATGAGAGGCCAGGAAAGCCACCGGAAAGTCATTCCAGCTTCCTGAACAATAAATACGTGTTCACGTTCACCTGGTTTCTAAGAATTTCCCATTCTTGGTGCTTTCACTCAGGCGCCTGAACCCGCATTAGCACTGCTTTCTGATGGTCAAGGGATGTGTCTGCAGGAATTAGACCAAATGTCCCTTCAAGGCCTCACTGCATCCAGAATAATCTTATACTTGTCCTCCTCGGTACTGGACACAGCTGTCAATTCCCACCAGAGTGGCACCGCTTAAATGTGCTGAGTACTTGCCATCCTTGTTTGTTTCAAGGCTTCTCCGAGTTTTATCTTCTTTCGTGTGTCAGCTTTACAACCCGCCTGTCACTCGAGTCATCTACCCGTCAACTCAGAACTTATAAAACAGAATAAATTACAAGAGCACAGCTATAGAGGTCATATTACCTAATCACAGAATCTGTTCTGTTGTACCCTGGGATGGAAGAAGCCTTTTCTCCTGGAGATCCCAAAATTTGAAGTGTTGTATTAATGTCAACTTCAGATGAATGCTTAATGGAATATTCCATTATTTCTGGAGGTATTAGCGGAGTCTCTCCCTGAGTATCATCAGCTAAGAGGTAGCCTTCAGTTTAAAAAAAATTAAAAATGAACACTTAACAATCTACATTTAACAAATTGTACTATAAATGTTTTCAGTTTTATCTGATTTATATACACCATATAAACTGATGTAAAAGTAAATTATAAATGTTAATATGTTAATTCAAGTTTGATGAGAAACTTTCTGTTTCTAAGATAATTAACCCTCAAAAAACACAGGAAAGGACAAAGGACAAAAGTTTTATTCACCAACTTTATAATTCATACTGACATGTAGGCTTTTTACTCTGTGATCTTTTAATAATTTTCAGTACTATATTCTGTAAAGTTAATAGGAATTCTACGATTATCTTTATCAAAAGTCAATATTTGGGAATGCCTTTCCAAACATTAAAGTTGCTTTTTTTTTTTTCCCCTGATTATTTAAAATACAGAAACACTGACAACATGGTTACAGAAGAAGACCCTAAAGAAAAGTAAGACTGCTGGGATTTGAACTCTGGCTCCAGACATTAACACCAGTGTGACCAGGGCTGGTCTCTAAGTCTCAGATTCTTTGTGTATAAGACGGGGTGATAATTAATAATGATAGTAATAATAACAGCAACAAGGACAACCATAATACCTAATAATAGTACTAATGCAGAGGCTACAATGAATTCCACATAAAACATGTGGTACAGAACAGGCACTGAACACGTGCCAGCCAGTACTGTAGAGAAAAGCAGCCGTAGCTCTGTGACATACAACAGCTGTGTCCAGATCTCAGGCCAACCCTACGTATGAACTACCATTATTAACTCAGGAAGCTTCTCTTAGGGCTGAGACTGCTCTGCTGGCAATTACATTTTACAAAGAAACAACCAACCGACCTGTAACTAAAATAAGCCAGTGGATATCTTCATACAGATCATCCAGCACCTTGCTGTCGGCAGAGCCTGAAGCAGGTGAAGCGAGGAGCTGCTGTTGCCGCCGCTGCAACTGCCCGTGGAGCCGCGTTACTCTTTCCTCTAATAAACTACAAGAAGGAAAATATCAACGGCTTCATGAAGCTCAGTAAGCAAAGACCCAGAACGACTTATTGCCACTTATTAGACAGCAGAAATTAAGATGTTAGCACAAAACACATATACAAAAATATTTATTATGTACACAATGTTCTCATGGCGCTATAAGAATTGTGATTTATTGTTTATGACATAGAATTAAAACATCGCTTTACAAACAATCAAGGTTTATTACAACAGGCATTTGAAAACCGGTTATTCCAAGATGTTACTGATACGGGTCCCATCACTTCTCATACCATGTTTTCCATAATCTCTCTGCCATCTATGCTGTGGTACCTGGGCTCCAAATGTACAAAAGCCAAGGAACGCAATCGTGAGTGGGTTTCTGTCCATTTGTTCCGTGTGCTGGGGTACGGGGAGGGGGTGTTTAAAGTCTTTAAACACTTTAAGTGCTCGCCGGGGGATTGTGAATAGACAGTATTTGTCCATGGGGTGTCTTTGGACTGTGTGTACCTTGTCAGGAGAGGTATACAGTGCTCTGCAGCAATGCGTCCTAGCATTCCTACACTGGCTAGTTGATCTGAAAACTGGTCTCGATCATCCTCCTGAAGTTCACTTATCTCTTCTTCCTCACGAGAGGCCACTCCGTTGGCAGTCTGTTATCGATGAAAGAAATAAAGACGGAGCTGTCACGTAACCGCAACACCACACGCGAAGAGGAAGGCCGAGCAGGGCCATGCCGGCCGCCCAGGCAGGTACCAACAAGGGGGAAACTCGAAGAGCAAGAGTGGGGGTATGGCCCCCCCCCACTATCGCACGTAAACACAGCCAGTGCACACCTCCCACCCACCTCCCACCCCAAAGACTTCAACTTCTGTCACTGAAAAGATCTGACACCTTTAAGATCCACAGTCCTTTGGATATCACCTGACAACTAGCAGGGCACAGGTGGTTTACTGAAAACTAAGGAGATGAAGGTAACTACAAGCCACATCCCACAAAACACGAACCTGTTTAGACTTTTGCTCTCCATCTGATGCTCTCAGCAAGTCCTCTGAAGGAGCTCACCTATGTTTCTAGTGTTTATTATATGATGAAATAGATTTTTAATTACAATCTGGCTTAAAACTTACCAAATTCCTTGTGCCATCGGGAGCTGCTAGGTGGCACTGAATGTAGGAATTGAACACTTGAACTGCGTGTTGGGTGAAAAAGCCTTTGTGGAAATGCTTGTCGTCTTGGACCAGCGTCAGCCAGGACTCCAGCAGCCTGTCGTATGCTTCCATGTACACCATGTCGTCTTTATCCAGCTGAGAGCAAAGGACATTGACAAGACAGATGGCCAGAGAGTAAGATGGACATCACAGCAAGCATCCCACAGCCAGACAGACAGGGTTACAGGTTTTCCTTTAACAAAGGTTCCCAATTATTAATCAATGATCAAGCTAACTGAGCTCGTCTTAAAATTAACTGATCAATTCAAACATTGCAGTAAATATGTGTAGGCTTTTTATTAAACTTTCTAAAATCTTTCTAACTTAATCTAAATTCTTAGGCAAATAGGAATTAATGTTTATTTCTGTAAAAGACTAGCCATTGAGCGCTTTGCAGATGTGTTTTTCAAACAAAAATAATGTGAATGTTTTTCTGTAGTCAAGATGAGAACTGTTAGATTAAAGTAAGATTAAATGATTTTAGAAAAACTGAAGAATGATGACAACAGACTGGCCTAATTAGCGTATTTAAGAACACATGGGGACAGCTTCACAGATGCTCCTTGACATTTTATTAGAAACCAGGAAGGCAAGGATGGGCCTCAAAGAAGCCGGAGGAGGGCGCAGAGGCAGGAGGACACTCGGGAACAGCGCAGCACGTGTGAGGACCCACGGGGAAGCCCCATGGACGGCGAGCAGACGGACTGGAAGGAGCCAGGCCTGGATGCAACCACCATGTACAGGCTGGGTCCTAACACAGCTTCAGAGTAAAGGATTCCGCCACTTGAGGAGGAGGAGCTCACACGGAGGACGCCAGACAGCTCTGCTCATCTTCTCACATGCCGGCAAGAATCCACGTCCGAATTCTGCCATTAGTTAGTAATGTGGTACATAATTCAATCTTTGCATCGATTTCTTCATACACAAATTCACTAGATCACTATTCAGTGAAACTCGGAACACTTAGGTGTCAAGCACTATGTTTGGTGCAAAAACATAAATAACATACCATTCATTGACTTTCAAGCTCAACCCAATGGAAAAAAGTGAGAAGCAAGCAAAGCACTTGCAGAAAATACACTACAGGCCACAAGAGATATGCATACATTCCGGGGTCAGTTTTTAATAATGGCATCTCTCGTAAGTAATTTGTTAAAAATAAAGGAGCAGAGCCTTCGAGCTATGTATTCGACCTTAAAAGGTTTTGTTTGGCACAATCCACAGTTTCAGATGTTCTGTTAATAGGTAGCGAACCAGGAACCAGCAACACGAAAGGTCTGCAGGTCTGGTCTACAACTTGCTCTCCTGGTTTCCAAAACAGACAGGCCTCAACCTACAAATACACCAACTCTAGAACCTCCATCAGAGAACGCCACCCCAAACTGTTATTTCAGCAATTTGTCAATGACTCCAAAAAGAAAGTAATGGGAGATCTATTTCTAGTATTCCAGCGTAAGCTGGACCATCAGGATACCACCTCCAGATTAGAATACACAAGCACCTAAGGAACTGCTTCCAGTGAATGATGTTTTATGTCTTTTGCTTTTATTAACCCATGGAATACAAAGAAAAATTGTCATATTCTGGATCAAATGAACCTTTAAATTTTTAAAAAATATTTAAAAGTAATTTTGTGGGGACTTCCCTGGTGGCGCGGTGGTTGAGAATCCGCCTGCCAGTGCAGGGGACACAGGTTCGATCCCTGGTCTGGGAAGATCCCACATGCTGCGGAGCAGCTAAGCCCGTGCACCACAACTACTGAGCCTACGCACCACAACTACTGAGCCTGCATGCTGCAACTACTGAAGCCCGTGCGCCTAGAGCCGTGCTCCGCAACAAGAGAAGCCATCACAATGAGAAGCCCGCGCACTGCAACGAAGACCGAACACAGCCAAACATAAATAAATTTATTTTTTTTAAAGTAATTTTGTGAAAACTTTACATCAGACTAAAGGGAAAGTGAAAAAAACTTCACTAGATAATTTTATTAAGAATTTTAAAATAGCAAACCCAAATTTTATTCCTATTTTTCTGGCCTTGAAAGTGTTTATACTGAAAACAGGCAACATTCTTTGAATGTAACTAACTAGGACATGTTCACGTTGTGAATACTGGACTCTTACTATTACCTGTGGTGTTTGTGTCCTACAAAGTCCCCGCAAACACTGAATTAGCTAATACTCTGGTCACTGCAGCTTTCACCATGCGCAGGTGGAGAGGTCAATAACCACCTTGTTTATGTGTGTTTCTGTGTACAGACACCTTATTTCACATGCACTGCTGATTCATGGCCAGCAGCCTGTCCAGCAAAGCTCATCTAACACCCACATTTTCTCCCTAAGGCTCACCCCACCCTCCCTGCACTTGGGCACAACACCTGGAGGCCATCGGAAACAGCAAAATCATCCTATCAGTCATTGCACTGCAAGAACTTCAATATTTTGTGACAGAATTTTGGAAAATGCCGTTTCACACAAAAATGCGAAAAATGAAGCACTGGAGACGGTGAGAAGGACACCTGTTTATGGTGTGAGGGTGAAAACAACAAGGCAGAGCGCGACTACCCGGCTTGACCCCTGCTGGGAACAAGCAAGCCAGCGGATCATAATTTTCCTCACTCTTTGCACACACATGTCCACGAATAATCATGAAAAGTTCCACAAGTGCTGATTTTGGGGTTGCAAAGGATTTTTAGCAAGGAAGTGAATTTGTAAATATGGAATCCACAAATGATGAGGACCAACTGTACTTGCAAAACCTAACTCTAGGAGGTTCTAACTTACTACTCATGCTGGCTCTGCTCGCTCATGTACCATCAAAATGCTTTACACTTTTTAAAACCTTGACAGCTCATAATTTTGTTGAAGGACAGCCATATTCCTGGTTCCATAAATGCAGTATAACATATTCATTTAGGTTTATAAATACCAATAAAAATGATCAATTCAACCAATATTTTTCATTACATCATTTATTTCCTTCCAACCCCTTTTGTAAATACTGCTTTCACCATCAATACAATTACAAACCATATTAAGTAAATGCTGTTGCATGAACATCAAAAAAGATACAGAAATACTCTAAACTCACAAAATATTGGGTGAAGGTTTTCCATGGAATAACTGACTGGATGGGAATGCCATATTTTTGTTTTGTCCTTGGAAATATACTGCTTGCTCATAAATTATTGAGCTTGAGAAAACTGATCACCTAAAACTCAGTCCCAGATTTCACTTATACTATCAATTTTACCAACGTTATTACAGCTCAGAGTGCTGCTGTCTCTTTACATTCACCTTCTGATTTGTTTTATCATTGAAACATCTTATTCTGACAATTTCCTTTTCTTGGTTACTATGGGCAGAAAAATGAAAAATTCTGAATTTCAAATAGCATCCAATGAAATGTTAAAAACAACAATTAACAACAAAACGTAAAAGATGGTTATTTCAAGACTTCTTGAAAGACTGTGCTATATTTTGGAAAATGCAATTAGAAAACTGAAAAATAATGAAGAGTAGCCATTTATTCTATTTGTGGTGATTCATTTCACTACTATACCATCCTTGTAGGTGACTCTATCATTCTTCCATTTTCTTATTCTTTTAGTCTCTTTTTTATTATGGATGGGAGTTGATGAGTAATGGTGAAATACTTCCCAAGATCATGAAATAGCAAAATGCTTCAAGATATGGGAGAAATCAGATCACTAAAAATCCATAATGTGTTTTAGATTTATACTAAGATTAATTACATGGTAATAAATGTTCTTTTCGTTCTAAAGTCTCTAAGAAAGAATAAAAGTCATGAAAAACTGACATTTAAAATAGTTAGAACTGTTCAAAAACGAAACTCAAAAACTAGACCCTGGTGGTATACTGAGGGTTAAACAATGTTGTAAGAAAGAGCTGAATAAAACCTGCTCCAGCATCATCTGTTGTCAAGGGATTGAGGATTCCGTATCAGTCACTATATGAAGCTTTGCAAGAGATTTTTTCTTTTTCTTTTTACTTATTATTAGGAAACATTCCTCTGAGAAGCAGGTGTGCTTCCTCTTTTTGCATGAGATCCTCCTAAGGAACTGTATCTTCAGCCCCTTCTAAAAAATCAAACTTGTATGTACAGATATTACAGCCTGAACATCAAGACTGCTCTTTTTCTCTAGGCTTGACTTTCTACTCTAATTGTCTTTGGCAAGTTCTGAAAAGATTATTTCATTCTAAATGTTCTTTTTATAAGCCATCAGAAATTTTGCATGAAACAAAAAATTATAAAAAAAATTAAATAATCTCTATTATAGTTTTCACGACTATGCTTATCACCTTTGTTCTATCTCTCTAGGACACATCCACTCCTTTAAAGGCTGACCGATTCATGGAAGAGCAGCTGTGAAAGGTAGCCTTACCTAGACCAAGGCACATCTGAGGGGTTAACTGAAAACGGAACTGATTTAAGAATGTCTACTTAACAGGAGAGCCACTCGGTGATTTGTGTATGAGAATATTTGCTGCAGCATTACTGAAAACAGTACAAATAACTTTATTGAACCATTCACTGAACGATTCCCCTAATTTTTTACATTAAAAACATAACTTCTAACACCAATTAATGACATAAAATTATCATAATATAAAGGTACTATATAGGTCTACGTGTGAATAAACAGATGCCAAGAAAGTGATAAATGATGGATTATTGGAGAATTTTAACGTCATGCACTGTTTGAATTATTTTCACCAATGAGCATATACCATTTTCACATTACAACTGTATTGTGAAATAATATTAGGAACAAAATTACAAGAAATAGATATATTCCACTCTAATAAATGCATTATTAGAAAAATGTATCTTTGTATTTGGATCAAGGAAAAAAAGAAAAAAGAAAACCTGAATACTCCCATAACTAACTGTTTAAACTTTTTAGTTTAAATTTTTCCCCCAAAGAAAATACCAGGCTTAGTAAATTTACACGTGAGATCTGCTGAACTAGCAAAAAACAAAACAAAAACAACCAATCTTATACAAACTGATCCACAGAAAGAGGAAAAGAGAATGAGTTGGACGGTGATCCAGTAAGTGCTGTAACCCTGATA